AATGTGGGTGGGGTTAAAAGAAAAAGGCAGTACCAGTCCTGAATGTGGGTGGGGCTAAAAGAAAGGGGCGGTACCTGTCCAGAATGTGGGTGGGGTTAAAAGAGTGGGGCGGAACCTGACCGGAATGTGGGTGGGGCTAAAAGAAAGGGGCGGCACCAGTCCTGAATGTGGGTGGGGCTAAAAGAAAGGGGTGTAACCTGTCCTGAATGTGGGTGGAGTTAAAGGAAAGGGGCAGTACCTGTCCTGAGTGTGGGTGGGGCTAAAAGAAAGGGGTGTGACCTGTCCAGAATGTGGGTGGGCTTAAAAGAAAGGGGTGTGACCTGACCAGAATGTGGGTGGGGCTAAAAGAAAGGGTGGTACCTGTTCAGAATGTGGGTGGGGCTAGAAGGGGAGGAACCCATCAGAATATGGGTGGAGTTAGAACCAAGAGGTGGAGCCTGTCCAGAATGTGGGTGGGGCTAGAACCAAGGGGCGGGGCCTCATTAGAATATGGGTGTGGCTGAAAAGTAAGACTCAGATAAGGAAGCAAGGCGAGGCCCGAAGGATCTTGTCGAAGGAAGGCTTTCATGGCTGGAATCATGGATATCTTCCGGTAGCATTCCCTCCTGACATTTCGCCCACACCTCTGGAAGGCACCCTCAGAGATGTAGGCAAAGTGTCAGGAGAGAATGCTACTTGGAAACTAGGCAAGTAGGGGTTTATATACCGGAGGAAAGGGTTGCGCATTGACACAACAACAACAACAAGGACAACAAGGACAACCATCCTCTGCTTTCTGTTGTTTTTATTATTATTATTATTATTATTGCCAAACAGCCTCCATGGAAAACACCTTTGCAAAGAAGAGGAACATGACACGAAAAAATGACAAATACAAAGGGACGAGTGCTACAAATCCCAGGGTCCAAAGAGTGGGATTCATGCCATGGGGGGTGGCTGGGTGGGGGGTGCATTGGGGTGCATTGAGACCGAAAGGAGGAGTCGAAGCTGTTCTGCATTTCAAGTAGCTAAAGGTTCAAGTTCGAAGGCACTTTTGTCAAGCGAAGGAAGACGCCCCCCACATCAAAGCCCCCCACCTGGGTGAGTGGGGGGCCGCAAGGGAATATATTATTATTATTATTATGACACACATTTATATATATATATCTCACATCCTCTCTTAAATACATAGAATAGTGCCCTTGGGGGGTCTTCTTTTGCAAGGAGCCATTTCCGGGGGTGTACATATATATATATATATATATAATTTTGGGGGGTGTGCAAAAATAAAAAGGGGTGCAAATCAATATGCCGGACCCCGAACCCGTCACCAAGCCATTTGCTGGCAGACCCTAGTGCAATAAGTGGGAACATTCATTCAATGTGGAATGGAAGGGATTTATAGTTTCCTGTTGGCGGGAGATGCAGTGCTCCCCGCTCTCAAGTGCTAAGTACATCCATTCGTCCTTTGCATATTTATGTGTGTGTGTGACCATATATATATATATATATGTACATCCATTCATCCTTTGCATATGTATGTGTGTGTGTGCATATGTATATGCATACACACACACATATACATACATATGTAAAGGACAAATGGATGTACATATATATATATGCATATATGTGTGTGTGTGTACATCCATTTGTCTTTTGCATATGTATATATATGTGTGTGTGTGCATATATATGTGTTTGTATGTATATATATGCATATACACACATATATATACATATGCAAAGGACAAATGAATGTGCATATATATAGATATGCATATATATGTGTGTGTACATCCATTTGTCCTTTGCATATGTATATATATGTGTGTGTGTGCATATATATGTGTTTGTATGTATATATATGAATATACACATATATATATACATATGCAAAGGACAAATGAATGTGCATATATATAGATATGCATATATATGTGTGTGGACATCAATTTGTCGTTTGCATATATGTTTGTGTGTGCATATGTGTGTGTACATCCATTTGTCCTTTGCACATGTATATATATATATATATATATATGTGTGTGTGTGTGTGCATATATATTATGTGTGTGTGTATATATATATATGCATATACACACATATATGTACATATGCAAAGGACAAATGGATGTATATGTGTGTGTGTACATCCATTTGTCCTTTGCGTATGTATATATATATGTGTGTGTGCATATATATTATGTGTGTGTGTATATGTATATGTGTGTATATATATATATATATATATATATATATATATATATGAATATATATGTGTGTACATCCATTTGTCCTTTATATATATGTGCGTGTGTGTACATATATGTGTGTGTGCATATATATATATATATATATATATATATATATATATATATATGCATATGTGTGTGTACATCAATTTCTCCTTGGCATATGTATATGTGTGTGTGTGTGTGTGTATATATATATATGCATATACACATATATATACACGCAAAGGGTAAATGGATGTACGTATATATATAGATATGCATATATATGTGTGTGTACATTCATTTGTCTTTTGCATATGTATATACATGTGTGTGCATATATATATGTGTGTGTGTGTGTGTACATCCATTCATCCTTTGCATATGTATATATATATGCATGTGTGTGTGTACACAGAGTGTATGTATATAAGTGTGCCTTTGCAGAAGGCAATGCCGTCTCCAGCAGGGGGCAGCAACGCACTATTTAAAATAACCCCAATTTCTCCTTGCGCAACTTCTGCAATCCTATTGCAAGGGTCTGCAAGCCTGAGCCCCCCAAACTCGGCTCACCCAACAGTCTTGACAGTCCTTTTAAAGCTTTACATGTTGATCATCCTGATTGTGATTCGTTTCCACGGTGGCCTTCCTCATTGGGAAGGAAAGCGTCCTGCTTGGCTCGCAATCATGTCCTGAGCGGAAGTCAAGGCCTCCTTGCACGGCGCTGGCTTTGGTTTGCAGCAGAAGACCCCTCCCCAAATGACACCCAGGGGCCACCAAAGGACGAGGTTCACCCATCGAGAGGGAAGGAGGAAGGCCAATGGGAGACATAGTTCACCGGGGGCAACGTCCCTGCAAAGAGTGACCAGGTCAAGGGACACTCGAAGTCTAGCGAAGGTCATTCAGGGGGTCACTCTGGGGCCTAGTGGGGGTCACTTGAGGGGTCACTCTGAGACCTATCAAGAGTCACTTTGAGGCCAAGTGAGGGTCACTCAAGGCCTAACAAAGGTCACTCGATGCCAAGCGAGGGTCACTTGAGGGGTCACTCCGAGGCCTATCAAGGGTCATTTTGAGGCCTTCCAAGGGTCATTCAAGGCCTAGTAAGGGTCATTGAGGGGTCATTCTGAGGCCTCTCAAGGGTCACTTCAAGACCTAGTAGGGGTCATTTTGAAGGGTCAATCTGAGGCCTATCAAGGCTCACTCAAGGCCTAGCGAGGGTCACTTGAGAGCTCACACCCAGGTCTCTCAAGGGTCACTTTGAAGCCCAGTGAGGGTTACTTGAGGGGTCACTCTGAGGCCTAGTGAGGGTCACTCTGAGGCCTAGCAAAGGTCACTCGAGGCCAAGTGAGGGTCACTTGAGGGATCACTCCAAGGCCTCTCAAGGGTCGCTCTAAGCGGTCACTCCGAGCTCTACCAAGGGTCACTCAAGGCCTAGCAAGGGTCATTGAGAGGTCATTCTGAGGCCTATCAAGGGTCACTCAAGGCCTAGCGAGAGTCACTCGAGGCCTAGCGAGGGTCACTTGAGGGCTCACTCCCAGGCTTCTCAAGGGTCACTTTGAAGCCCAGTGGGTCACTCCGAGGCCTAGCAAAGGTCACTCGAGGCCAAGTGAGGGTCACTTGAGAGGTCACTCCCAGACCTCTCAAGGGTCACTTTGAAGCCCAGTGAGGATTACTTGAGGGGTCACTCCAAAGCCTGGTGAAGGTCACTCTGAGGTCTAGCGAGGGTCACTCAAGGCCTAGCAAAGGTCACTCGAGGCCAAGTGAGGGTCACTTGAGGGATCACACCAAGGCCTATCAAGGGTCACTCTAAGAGGTCACTCTGAGCCCTACCCACGGTCACTCGAGGCCTAGCAAGGGTCATTGAGGTCATTCTGAGGCCTATCAAGGGTCACTTTGAAGGGTCTCTCTGAGGCCTATCAAGGGTCAATCAAGGCCTAGTGAGGGCCACTTGAGACCAAACAAGAGTCACTTGAGGCCAAGCGAGGGTCACTCTAAGCCTACCAAGGGTCATTCAAGGCCTAACAAGGGTCATTGAGGGGTCACCTTGGGGCCAAATGAGGGTCACTTGAGGGGTCACTCTGAGGCTCAGAGGGGGTCACTTTGAAGGGTCACTCCAAGGCCTGCCAAGGGTCACTCAAGGCCTAGTGAGGGTCACTTGAGACCAAGCGAGAGTCACTTGAGGGGTCACTCCCAGGCCACTCAAGGGTCACTTTGAAGCCCAGTGAGGGTTACTTGAGGGGTCACTCTGAGGCCTACCAAGGGTCACTCTGAGGGGTCACTCCGAGGCCTATCAAGGGTAACTTTGAGGCCAAGCGAGGGTCACTTTTGAGGGTCACTCCTAGGCCCTTTCCAGGGCAAGTGCTCTGTCCTCTCTCGGCTCTCCCTCTTCCTCTTCGTCGTCATCGTCGTCCTCCTCGAGGCGACCCTGATCCCAGTAGCCACGGGCCAGGGCGAGCGGCCCCTGGTCCTGCTCCTCCTCCTCCTGTTCGGCCCCTCCATTGGTCAAGCCAGGGTGGTCAAGTGGGGCGTTGGGGGCGTTGGCTGGAGGAGCAGGGCCGTGGGTGGGGGAGGGGGCCTCCCCCCTCCTCCTCCTCCGGGTCCGAACCTCCAGGCAGTTCTGGCCCTTGAGGTGCCGCTGGAGGTGGTCGTCCTTGGCGAAGGCCTTGTGGCACAGGCCGCACTCGAAGGGCCGGGCCCCCGTGTGCAGGTGAAGGTGGTTCTTCAGGTCGTAGCTGTGCAGGAAGCGGGCCGGGCAGTGCGGGCAGGAGTAGGGCCGCTCCCCCGTGTGCTTGCGCATGTGGATCTTCAGCTTGTCGTTCCTGCAGAGAGAGAGAGAAGCAGGTGACAGGTGAGCAAGAGCAGAGAAGGAGGAGGCCGGCGACAGGTAAGCCTCTCGCTGGCATGTCTCAAGCTTCTAGTCCTCAATAGTTTCAGCCACCCACCTCTTACATGTCTCAGTCTCATTGGACAAAAAGTCAAGGCTCTAGTCCTCATTTACTAAGAAATTGAGTATCTAGTCCTCATGGATGCATCACACAACATCTTGCTTGTCTCAAGCTTCTAGTCCTCACGGATGCATTACAGCAGGTATGTCTCTACAGCATGTGATAATAACAATAACAGTAACAATCCATTTGTAAACTTACTAACAAACTAAGTAATTCTATGCAGTGATTGGGGACATCTGCCACCTACAGACTGAGGTTGGTAGTGCAGGTTTCAGATTATAGGTGAGGGATACAAATTGTTTCTAGGCTAGAGTCTACTTATCCAATGCTGGACAATTCTGGGAGAATTAATCTGTAATTATTCGGCTCAGATTCCTCCATCTCAGTCCGCCTTGAAGCTATATTGACTGAAGAACTATGTGGTGATTGGGGAAGTCTGCCACCTAGAGACCAAGGGCAGTACTGTAAGATGCAAATACAGCTGAGGAAGATATGCAGATTCTTCTAGCCAATGCTGGGTGACTCTGGGTGGACTTATTGGCAAGTATTTGGCTCGGATCTCTCCCTCCCGGGTCACTTTGAAACTATATTGATTGAGGAACTATGAAGTGATTGGGGAAGTCCGCCACCTTGAGACTGAGGACAATACTGCACGATGCAAATGCAGCTGAGGAAAATATGCAGATAGTTTCTAGGGTCTACTAGCCAATGCTGGACGATTGTGGGAGAACTTAATTTGCCATTACTTGGATTGGATCCCTCCCTTCCAGGTCACCTCGAACCTATATTGACTGAGGAACTATGCAGTGATTGGGGAAGTCCGCCAACTAGAGACCAAGGACGATACTGCAAGATGCAAATGCAGCTGAGAAAAATATGCAGATAGTTTCTAGGGTCTACTAGCCAATGCTGGACAATTGTGGGATAACTTAATTTGCCATTACTTGGACTGGATCCTTCCCTTCCAGGTCACCTTGAAGTTATATTGACTTGAGGAACTATGTAGTGATTGGGGAAGTCCGTCACCTAAAGACTGAGGACGATACTGCAAGATGCAAATAGAGCCAAGGAAGGTATGCAGGTAGTTTCTAGGGTCTACTAGCCAATGCTGGGTGATTCTGGGAGGAGTTATCAGCAAGTATTAGCTTCGGATCCCTCCCTCTGAGATAACCTTGAAACTATATTGATTGAGGAACTATGCAGTGATTGGGAAAGTCTGCCACCTAGAGACTAAGGATGGTACTGTAAAATGTAAACACAGCTGAGGAAGATATGCAGATAGTTACTAGGTTTTACTAACCAATGCTGGGTGATTCTGGCCGGACTTATCGGCAAGTATTTGGCTCGGATCCTTCCCTCCACGGGTCACTTTGAAACTATATTGACTGAGGAACTATGCAGTGGTTGGGAAAGTCTGCCACCTAGAGACTGAGAACAATACTGCAAGATGCAAATACAGCCGAGGAAGATATGCAGATAGTTTCTAGGTTTTACTAAGCAATGTTGGGTGATTCTGGGAGGACATATCGGCAAGTATTTGGCTCAAATCCCCCCCTCTCAGGTCACCTTGAAGCTATATTGACTGAGGAACTATGTGGTGATTGGAGAAGTCCGCCACCTAGAGACCAAGGGCAGTACTGCAAGATGCAAATACAGCTGAGGAAGATATACAGATTGTTACTAGCCAATGCTGGGTGATTCTGGGAGGACTTATCGGCACGTATTTGGCTCGGATCCCTCCCTCCCAGGTTACCTTGAAGCTATATTGATTGAGGAACTATGCAGTGATTGGGGAAGACCGCCACCTATAGACTGAGGACAATACTGCAAGATGCAAATGCAGCAGAGGAAAATATGCAGATAGTTTCTAGGGTCTACTAGCCAATGCTGGACAATTGTGGGATAACTTAATTTGCCATTACTTGGATTGGATCCTTCCCTTCCAGGTCACCTTGAAGCTATATTGACTTGAGGAACTATGCGGTGATTGGGGAAGTCCGCCACCTAGAGGCTGAGGACGATACGGCAAGATGCAAATACAGCCGAGGAAGATATGCAGGTAGTTTCTAGGGTCTACTAGCCAATGTTGGGTGATTCTGGGTGGACTTATCGGCAAGTATTTGGCTCGGATCCGTCCCTCCCAGGTTACCTTGAAGCTATATTGACTGAGGAACTATGCAGTGATTGGGGAAGTCCGCCACCTAGAGACCAAGGGCAGTACTGTAAGATGCAAATACAGCTGAAGAAGATATGCAGATTGTTACTAGCCAATGCTGGGTGATTCTGGTGGATTTATCGGCAAGTATTTGGCTTGGATCTCTTCCTCCCAGGTCACCTTGAAGCTATATTGACTGAGGAACTATGCAGTGATTGGGGAAGACCGGCACCTTGAGACTGAAGACAATACTGCATGATGCAAATGCAGCTAAGGAAAATATGCAGATAGTTTCTAGGGTCTACTAGTCAATGCTGGATGATTGTGGGAGAACTTAATTTGCCATTACTTGGATTGGATCCTTCCCTTCCAGGTCACCTTGAAGCTATATTGACTGAGGAACTATGTAGTGATTGGGGAAGTCTGCCACCTAGAGGCTGAGGACGATATGGCAAGATGCAAATACAGCCAAGGAAGATATGCAAATAGTTTCTAGGGTCTACTAGCCAATGCTGGGTGATTCTGGGGAGACTTATCGGCAATTATTTAGCTCGGATCCCTCCTTCCCAGGTCAGCTTGAAACTATATTGACTGAGGAACTATGCAGTGATTGGGAAAGTCTGCCACCTAGAGACTAAGGATGGTACTGTAAAATGTAAACACAGCCAAGGAAGATATGCTAGGGTCTACTAGCCAATGCTGGACGATTGTGGGAGAACTTAATTTGCCATTACTTGGATTGGATCCTTCCCTCGCTAGCCATCTTGTCCGATTGAATGTTGATATTTAGAGATCTTGGGCTATCCAGGATTAGATACATCACCCTCTCCATCTGAAAGCCTGCCTCTCTGGACAAAGTTAGTGCCATCAATGTTTCACTGACCGTGTGAACCGGACCCCGCAGACCTCGCAGGCGAAGGGCTTCTCCCCGGTGTGGGTGCGCATGTGGCGAGGCAGCTTCCCTGCCCCGTGGATGACCTTGTGGCAGACAGGGCACTCCTGTGGCATCTGTGAGCGCCGCTTCCGCACCAACTTGTCTGGCGACTCCAAGCCGGCGGCGGCCACAACGACACGACCCCCCTCGGGGTTGAGGTTGCGCAGGAAGCGGGGCAGGACATCCGGGTCGAGGGGCTCCTCGTCGTCCGAGGGCAGCTCCTCCGGTGAGAGCCGCAAGGGGAACGGGTACGGGAAGGGGCACGGCGACGGCGCAATGACAAGGGCTTCCCTCTCGTCATCCTCATGTGGTTGACCCGGCGCCGGAGACGCCTGGTTGGGCGGACTGGGCCGTTCCGTCGAGGAAGGTGACGGTGACGGCGACAACTCCAAGATATGATTGTTGATGCGGGACCCTTTCGTTTGGAGGAACTTGCGGGTCTTCTTGCTCCGCCGAGGGGCCGGCAAACAAGCAGGGGGCTCGGCTAAATCCCCTTCAGCGCCGGGAAAGGTGGAAAAAGCTTCCAAGTATCGCCGGGCACGTTCTCGAGCAGCATCATCAGGGACGGGAGCTTCCAAGCCATTTCCTTGGAGGATCTCGACACAGGCCGTGATGACACACGGGATCTCCAAAACACGGGCGGCATGCAAGACTTCGCCGAGACTCCCGGCACTGATGGTCAAGGTGGCTGTGTACGCAAAGTCCAGCAAGGCCCTCAGGGCTTCGGCCCCCACAAAGTCCAGCTCGCAGACCCCACCCACGAGGCCCGGCCCGGCAAAGAGGCGCTGGAAGTAGCGGCTGCAAGCTGCTAGGACGGCCCGGTGGGTGCGGAACTCGGATCCTTGAGCCCGGAGTGTCACGTCGCACAGGAGGCCGCGGCGGCGCTGGTCATTCAGGCGGCCCAGGAGCTCGCTGCTGTGGTCCGGAAAGGGGATGCCAATCAGGTCATCCTCTGGGCTCCCCATGGCCTCACCTGCAGAGAGAGAGAGGAAGAGGATAGAGGGGTCAATGTGATGAATTGATTGAATGAATTCGTATGACTGGGGTCTGGTGAGGGTAGGCTTGGCCAAACATCAGCTCTTCAGGTGTTTCGGACTTCAACTCCCACAATTCCTAACAGCCGGTGTAGATGCTTAAGAAGTCATACCTATCTATTGGGACCTGAGGTCTCTTAGGTCTATTGCTCTATTATCTGTCTGTCTGTCTGTCTATTGGAACGTGAAGGTAGGCCTCTCTTACGTCTATCATTCTATTATCTCTCTGTCTGGAACATGAAGGTAGGCCTCTCTTAGGACTATCATTCCATTATCTGTCTGTCTGTCTATTGGGATGTGAAGGTAGGCCTCTCTTAGGTTTATCCTTCTATTACCTGTCTGTCTGTCCGTCTATTGGGACCTGAAGGTAAGCCTCTCTTAGGTCTCTCATTCTGTTATCTGTCTGTCTGTCTATCTATTGGGACCTGAAGGTAAGCCTCTCTTAGGTCTATCATTCTGTTATCTGTCTGTCTGTCTGTCTATCGGGACCTGAAGGTAGGCCTCTTTTAGGTCTATCATTCTATTGTCTGTCTGTCTATTGGGACCTGAAGGTAGGCCTCTCTTAGGTCTATCATTCTATTATCTGTCTGTCTGTCTGTCTATCGGGACCTGAAGGTAGGCCTCTCTTAGGTCTATCACTCTATTATCTGTCTGTCTGTCTATTGGGATGTGAAGGTAGGCCTCACTTAGGTCTATCATTCTATTATCTGTCTGTCTGTCTATTGGAACATGAAGGTAAGTCTATTTTAGGTCTATCATTCTATTGTCTGTCTATCTATTGGGACCTGAAGGTAGGCCTCTCTTAGGTCTATAATTCTATTATCTGTCTGTATGTCTGTCCATCTATTGGGATGTGAAGGTAGGCCTCTCTTAGGTCTATCATTCTATTATCTGTCTGTCTGTCTATTGGGACCTGAAGGTAGATCCATCACTGTATTATCTACCTACCTACCTACCTACCTACCTACCTACCTATCTATTGGGACCTGCAGGTAGGCCTCTCTTAGGTCTATCATTCTATTATCTGTCTCTCTGTCTGTCTATTGGAACGTGAAGTCTCTCTTAGGTCAATCATTCTATTATCTGTCTGTCTGTCTATTGGAACATGAAGGTAAGTCTCCTTTAGGTCTATCATTCTATTGTCTGTCTGTCTGTCTGTCTCTTGGGACCTGAAGGTAGGACTCTCTTAGGTCTATCACTCTATTAACTGTCTGTCTGTCTGTCCGTCTATTGGGATGTGAAGGTAAACCTCTTTTAGGTCTATCATTTTATTATCTATCTCTCTATCTGTCTATTGGAATATGAAGGTAGGCCTTTCTTGGTCCATCACTCTATTATCTATCAATCAATCACAGTGCTTCTCGAACTTCCTAATGCGGTGACACCTTAATACAGTTACTCATGTGGTGGTGACCCCCAACCATAACATTATTTTCGTTGCTACTGAATAACTGTCATTTTGCTCCTGTTATGAATAGAAATGTAAATATCTGATATGCAGGATGTATCATCATTCACTGGACCAAATTTGGTACAAATACCCGATAAGCCCAAATTTGAATACATTCTGAACTCCACCAATGATGGAATTGAGCCATACTTGGAACACAGAACTCCCATGACCAACACAAAATACTCAATATGCCCTAATGTGAACACTGGTGGAGTTTGAGGGGAATAATCCTTGATATTTGGGAGTCATAGTTTCTGGGATTAATAGTCTACCCGTATTTAAAGAGCATCCTGAACCACACCAATGATAGAATTGGGCCAAACTTCCCACACAGAGACCCCCGTGACCATCAGAAAAGACTGACACCCCCTCACGCCCCCCCCCTCCCAGGTTGAGAAACACTGGTCTATTGAGACTTGAAGGTAGGCCTCTTTGAGGTCTATGATTCTATCTGTCTGTCTGTCTGTCTGTCTACTTCTCTATTACAGAAGAAGGGGATTGGTGTCAATGGACTTCTTTGGGTCTCCTCCAACTCTAGGATTCCATCTATCTATCTATCTATCTATCTATCTATCTATCTGTCTGTCTGTCTGTCTGTCTGTCTGTCTGTCTGTCTGTCTATTATGGCAGAAGGGGATTGGTCTAGATGGCCTTCTTTGGGGCTCCTTCCAACTCTATCTATCTACCTACCTACCTACCTATCTACCCATCCATCCATACATCCGTCTATTATAGCAGAAGAGGGTTGGTTTAGATTGCCTTCTTTGGGGCTCCTTCCAACTCCATCCATCTACCTACCTATCCATCCATCCATCCATCCATCCATCTATTATAGCAGAAGAGGGTTGGTTTAGATGGCCTTCTTTGGGGCTCCTTCCAACTCTATCTATCTACCTACCTACCTACCTATCTACCCATCCATCCATCCGTCTATTATAGCAGAAGAGGGTTGGTTTAGATGGCCTTCTTTGGGGCTCCTTCCAACTCCATCCACCTACCTACCTACCCATCCATCCATCCATCCGTCTATTATGGCAGAAGAGGGTTGGTCTAGATGGCTTTCTTTGGGGCTCCTTCCAACCCTACCTACCTACCTACCTACCCATCCATCCATCCATCTGTCTCTTATGGCACAAGGGGGTTGGTCTAGATGGCCTTCTTTGGGGCCCCTTCCAACTCTAGGATTTCTGGGTCCTCTCTTGACCCCTTTGAGCCGAAACAAGGAGGCCTACTATCCATCCATCTGTCTATTATGGCAGAAGAGGGTTGGTCTAGATGGCCTTCTTTGGGGGCCCTTCCAACTGTCTATTATAGCAGAAGAGAGTTGGAAGGGGCCCCAAAGACGGCCATCTAGACCAACCCTCTTCTGCTATAATAGACAGATGGATGGATGGATGGAGTTGGAAGGAGCCCCGAAGAAGGCCATCTACACCAACCCTCTTGTGCCATAATAGACAGATGAATGGATGGATGGATGGATAGATAGAGTTGGAAGGAGCCTCAAAGAAGGCCCTCTTCTGCTATCCATCCATCCATCTATCTATCTATCTACTTCTGACTATCTATCTCTTTAGGTTGGACTGGATGACCCTTTGGATTTCTTCCAACTCTATCTATCTATCTATCTATCTATCTATCTATCTATCTATCTATCTATCTATCTATCTATCCATCCATCCATTCATCTATCTCTCTATCTGTCTATCCATCCATATCCATCCATTCATCTATCTATCTCTATCTATCTATCTATCTATCTATCCATCCATCCATCCATCCATCCATCCATCCATCCATCCATCCATCCATCTTTCTATTATGGCACAAGGGGGTTGGTCTAGATGGCCTTCTTTGTGGTTCTTTCCAACTCTATCTATCTATCTATCTATCTATCTATCTATCTATCTATCCATCCATCCATCCATCCATCCATTCATCTTTCTATTATGGCACAAGGGGGTTGGTCTAGATGGCCTTCTTTGGGGCCCCTTCCAACTCTAGTATTTCTGGGTCCTCTGTTGACCCCTTTGAGCCGGAACAAGGAGGCCTACTTCCTCCTCTTCCTCCTCCTCCTCCTCCTCTTCCTCTTCTGGAGGGAAGTTGGTGGCGCCTCAAAGGGGAGGAAGTGCGCAAGACTTTGGCGCGGCAGCAGCAGCAGGAAGTCCCCTCCTCGCCCGCAGACGGCACCGAGCCACCGAGGATGATGAAGTCGATGAAGATGGAGGGCCTGATACGGCCGCTTCGGGGCGCGGTAGATTCCCAGGAAAGATAGGGCTGCTCCCCTTTGCCGCCCACGGCCTCACTGCTGGGGGAAAGGGCACATTGTGCTCCGTGCGGTGCCACGCCATGATAATCAGGCCTAGACACAATCAGAACCCTCCTGACAGATGGCCTTCCAGCCCCTGCTCCTTCTATGTCATCACTATCATATAGAACCATAGGATACCATGAAAACAAACACAATCTGGTTACCAATATTTAAAAAAAAACACCAGAATCAGGAGAGTAAATAAAGAAACAGAGGGAGCAATCAAGTCCCAAGTAGAGGGTGCCTCCAGGCAACAGTGGTCAGGCGACCTCTATGCAGAGACCCACACGGATTGACTTTGCAGCTTCATGGCTACACAATTTTATTCAAGTCTGACAATTGCAATATTCACACTAGCATCAAACAGACAAGGGTTCTGTCTCCCACCCTGGATATTATTCCACAAAGGGTGCCTCCAGGCAACAGTGGCCAGGCCACCTCCATGCAGAAACCCTCACAGATTGATTTTGTAAACTCCGTGGCTATTCAAGCTTGCTCGTTGCAACATTCACACTTACTTCAAATAGTCCTGGACATTATTCCACAGAGGGCGCCTCCAGGCAACAGTGGTCAGGCGACCCCTGTGCAGAGACCCTCACTGATTGACTCTGTAAACTTCATGGCTATTCAAGCTTGCTAACTGCAACATTCACACTTGCTGTAAACAGACAAGGTTTCTTTCTCCCACCCTGGACATTATTCCACAGAGGGTGCCCCCAAGCAACAACAGCCGGGCTACCTCTATGCAGAGACCCTCACTAATTGACTTTGCAGTTTCATGGTTATTCAAACCTGCTAACTGCAATATTCACACTTGCTGTAAACAGACAAGGTTTCTTTCTCCCACCCTGGACATTATTCCACAGAGGGCGCCTCCAGACAACAGTGGCCAGGCAACCCCTATGCAGAGACCCTCACTGATTGACTTTGTAGCTTCAGTGCTATTCAAGCTTGCTAATTGAAAGTCACATATTCACATATTTCTCCCACCCTGGACATCATTCCACAGAGGGTGCCTCCAGGCAACAACAGCCAATCAAGCCTCTATGCAGAGACCCTCACAGATTGACTTGGCAGCTGCACTGCAAGGCTACTCAATGCTAATCAAGCTTCCTAACTGGAACATTCCCATATTCTAATATTTCTTCCACCCTGGACATTATTCCACAGAGGGTGCCTCCAAGCAACAACAGCCAGGCGACCCCTATGCAGAGACCCTCGCTGATTGACTTTGTAGCTTCAGTGCTATTCAAGCTTGCTAATTGCAACAGTCACATATTCACATATTTCTCCCACCCTGGACATCATTCCACAGAGGGTGCCTCCAGGCAACAACAGCCAGGCCACCTCAATGCAGAGACCCTCACTGATTGACGTGGCAGCTGCACTGCAAGGCTACTCAATGCTAATCAAGCTTCCTAACTGGAACATTCCCATATTCTAATATTTCTTCCACCCTGGACATTATTCCACAGAGGGTGCCTCCAAGCAACAACAGCCAGGCGACCCCTATGCAGAGACCCTCGCTGATTGACTTTGTAGCTTCAGTGCTATTCAAGCTTGCTAATTGCAACAGTCACATATTCACATATTTCTCCCACCCTGGACATCATTCCACAGAGGGTGCCTCCAGGCAACAACAGCCAGGCCACCTCAATGCAGAGACCCTCACTGATTGACGTGGCAGCTGCACTGCAAGGCTACTCAATGCTAATCAAGCTTGCTAATTGGAACATTCCCATATTCTCACATTTTTTTTCCACCCTGGACATTATTCCGTCAATATATATATATGCACTCCACTTGCTTCACTGCCAACAGAACTTCTGAAGATGCCATTAGCCACAGATGCAGGCCAAACGTCAGGAGGGAATGCTGCCGAAACACATGGGCCATACAGCCCGGAAAACTCACAGCAACCCAAGCTTCTGCTTATCCGAAAGGCCGGCGAGTGCCCACCCAAGGACCCCAAGGCCTTACCCTCCTCCGTGTCTCCCGAGCGGGCCTTTGCGGTGCCAACCTGGGCCTGGCGCGCGAATGCGGCAACACGGCACCCCGGCGGCTTGCCCCTTCTTGCCCTGCCCCTTGCCCGCCTTGGTTGCCCGCCAGAAGGCAAGGGCATGGGATGGGCTGCATGGGCGAAACGGGGCAGGCGGCCGCGCCCCTCTCTGCCAAGCAGGACCAACCGGCCCCGGCAGTGGCGGCTGCACCATTATAATCATACGTGAGGATGGCGAGGAGGAGGAGGAGGAGGAAGGGAAGGCGCAACCGCTGCCAGGCGCACAGGGAGCACTCTGACCCGGGAGAAGGAGGGTGCGCCGGCGTCGCTGCGGCAACGCCCGGGAAGGGCCATGCCAGCTCAGCCAGAGACACTTTGGCACACAGGAGGCAGGTCATGGGCTTGGCCACTCCTGGGAAAAGGACACCGCTGGCATACCCATGTCTTCAGGTCCTTGGAGCATGAAACACCTGGCTTCGGGGGGCCCAAAAGCCCACCTTTGCCCCATCAGTATGCCCACACCTTGAGGTCTTTGGAGCACCTGGCTTTGGGGGGCCCGAAAGCCCACCTTTGCTCCTGTTAGAAAGCCCACCTTTGCCCCTATCAGTATGCCCACACCTTGAGGTCTTTGGAGCACCGGACTTAAGGGTGCCCGAAAGCCCACCTTTGTTCTTGTTTGCATGCCAACATCTTGAGGTCTCTGGGGCAAGATTCACCTGGCTTTGGGTTGTGCCCATAATCCCACCTTTGGGATTACCATGCCCATGTCTTGAGACTTTTGGGTCAAGAAACACCTGGTTTCGGTGTGCCCGAAAGCCCACCTTTGCTCCTGTTAGAAAGCCCACCTTTGCCCCTATCAGTCTGCCCACACCTTGAGGTCTTTGGGGCAAGAAGCACCTGTCTTTGGGGGTGCCCAAAAACCCACATTTTGCCCTTAGCATGCCCACATATTGAGACCTTTTGGGCAAGAAGCACCTGGTTTTGAGGTGCCCAAAAGCCCACCTTTGCCCCTATTAGCATGCCCACATCTTGAGACCTTTCAGGCAAGAAGCACCTGAATTTTGGGTGTCCGAAAGCCCACCTTTGCCCCTGTTAGTGTGCCCACATCTTGAGGTCTCTGGAGCAAGTAACACCTGACTTTGAGTTGCCCTAAAGCCCACCTTTTGCCCCAATTAGCATGCCCACATCTTGAGCTCTTTGGGGCAAGAAGGCCACCTTTGACCCTGTTAGCATGCCAATGTCTTGAGACCTTTCAGGCAAGAAGCGCCTGGCTTTGAGGTGCCCGAAAGCCCAATTTTACTCCTATTAGAAAGCCCACCTTTGGACCTGTCAGCATGCCCACGTCTTGGGGTCTTTGGGGCAAGTAACATCTAACTTTGGGGTGCCTGAAAGCCCACCTTTTGCCCTTTTAGCATGCCCACATCTTGGAGTTTTGGGGGCAAGAAACACCTGGCTTTGGAGTGTCTGAAAAGCCACCTTTGTTCCTGTTAGAAAGCCCACCTTTGCCCCTATTAACATGCCCTCATCTCAAGACCTTTGGGGCATAAAGCACCTGACTTTAGGGTGCCCAAAACCCCACCTTTGCCCCATTAGCATGCCCATGTCTTGAGACCTTTGGGGCAAGAAGCACCTGGCTTTGGGGTGCCCAAAACCCCACTTTTGCTCCTATTAGAAGGACTACTTTGGCACCTGTTAGCATGCCCACATCTTGAGACCTTTGGGGCAAGAAACACCTAATTTTGGGATGCCCGAAAGCCCACCTTTGCCCCTGTTAGTGCGACAACGTCATGAGACTGTAGGGAAAAAAACACCTGGCTTTGGGGTGCCCGAAAAGCCACCTTTGCTCCTATTAGCAAGCCCACACCTTGAGCTCTTTGCGGCAAGAAGTACCTGTCATTGGCATGCCCAAAAGCCCACCTTTGCCCCTTTTGGAAAGGTCACCTTTGCCTCTATTATCCTGCCCACATCTTGAGACCTTTGGGGCAAGAAACACCTAATTTTGGGGTGCCCGAAAGCCCACCTTTGCCCCTGTTAACACAACAACGTCATGAGACCAAAAGGTGAAGCAAGTCCCCAGTTGAAGAACTATGAATCACAACGCGCCCACTTCCCAGTTGGGGAAACTGAGTCAGAGCCTTTCGTCCCGGTGCTTTCCTACATATGTGTATATGGTTACGCTCCTGAGCATGGCAAGAGCGGCCAGTGCTCTTCAAGCGTTGCCAGATGTATAAAGTCTATAGAAAATAGCCACTAAGATAGCCATCTTTCCATGAGCGCAAAGGAAGCTCCCGAGATAAAAACAATGCAGGAGACGCAAGACACCTGTCGGGCTTCACCTGCGCATGAGGAAAGGAGGAGGGGACCCAAAGGCCATCCAGTCCAACCCCAATCTGCCATGAAGGAAGAAAGACACCACCCGATCCTTCCTGATAGATAGACACACTATATTCTATGATAGATCTATCATAGAACCCTAGAGTTGGGACCTCTGGAGAGCATCTAGTCCATCCAGCCATAGATATGATCAGATAGATAGATACACTATATCAATCAAAGAAGGCTAGAGTTGGATAAGGGACCTCCAAAGGTCATCCAGTCCAACCCCATTCTGCCACGGACAACACAATCAAAGCCCTCCCAACAGATGGCCATCCAGCCATAGATATGATAGGTAGGCGCACTAAATTCTATGAAAGGTCTATCTTAGAACCCTAGAGTTGGAAGAGACCCCCAAAGGTCATCCAGCCCAATCAAAGCCCTCCCAACAGATGGCCATCCAGCCATAAATCTGATAGACAGACACACTATATTCTATGAAAAGTCTATCTTAGAACCCTAGAGTTGGAAGAGACCCCCAAAGGTCATCCAGTCACACCCCATCCTGTGTTGAAGGACGCCACACTCAAAGCCCTCCCAACAGATGGCCATCCAGCCATAGATATGATAGACAGGCACACTATATACTATGATAGGTCTATCATTAGAACCCTAGAGTTGGAAGGGATCTTCAGAGGGCATCTAGTCCATCCAGCCATAGATATGATCAGATAGATAGATACACTATATCGATCAAAGAAGCCTAGAGTTGGAAGAGGGACCTCCAGAGGTCATCCAGTCCAACCCCATTCTGCCACGAAGGACGACACAATCAAAGCCCTCTCAACAGATGGCCATCCAGCCATAGATATGATAGGTAGGCACACTATATTATGATAGATCTATCATAGAACCCTAGAGTTGGGACCATCCAGCCATAGATATAATCAGATAGATAGATACACTATATCAATCAAAGAAGCCTAGAGTTGGATGAGGTTGGACCTCCAAAGGTCATCCAGTCCAACCCCATTCTGCCACAAAGGACAACACAGTCAAAGCCCTCCCAACAGATGGTCATCCAGCCATAGATATGATAGAGAAATGCACTATATTCTATGAAAGGTCTATCTTCGAACCTTAGAGTTGGAAGAGACCTCCAAAGGTCATCCAGTCCAACCCAATTCTGCCATGAAGGACGCCACACTCAAAGCCCTCCCAACAGATGGCCATCCAGCCATAGATATGATAGACGCACTATATTCTATGAAAGAATGGGGTTGTACTGGATGAACCCAAAGGTCATCCAGTCCAACCCCATTCTGCCACGAAGGACGACACAATCAAAGCCCTCCCAACAGATGGCCATCCAGCCATAGATGACAGACAGATGCCCTATATTCTATGACAGGTCTATCTTACAATTCTAGAGTTGGAAAAGACCCCCAAAGGTCATCCAGTCCAACCCCATCCTGTGTTGAAGGACGCCACACTCAAAGCCCTCCCAACAGATGGCCAGCCAGCCATAGATCTGATAGACAGACACTCTTTATTCAATTAAAGGTCTATCTTAGAACCCTAGAGTTGGAAGATACCCCCAAAGGTCATCCAGTCCAACCCTATCCTGTGTTGAAGGACGCCACACTCAAAGCCCTCCCAACAGATGCCCATCCAGCCATAGATATGACAGACAGATGCACTATATTCAATGAAAGGTCTATCTTGGAAGAGACCCCCAAAGGTCAACCAGTCCAACCCCATTCTGCCACAAAGGGCAACACAAATCCCTCCCAACAGATGGCCAGCCACCATAGATATCATAGACAGACACACTATATATTCTATGAAAGGTCTATCTTAGAACCCTAGAGTTGGAAGAGAGCCCCAAAGGTCATCCAGTCCATCCAGCCATAGATATAATTAGACAGATGCACTATATTCTATTACATTTACAGAACCCTAGATTCTATGGCCTTTAGTCCATCCAGGTATACCTATAGCAGATAGGCAGATAGATCAATAGAGACTATATTCTGTAATATATCTATCTTAGGGCCCTAGAGTAGGAAGGGGTCCCCCAAAGGTCATCCAGTCCACCCCTCTTCTGCCATAAAGGAAGACACCATCAGGCTCCGAGGGGCCAGGTGTGCCTGGCCTCACCTGGAGGAGGAGGAGGAGGAGAGCAGGGCCACCTGAGGTCACTCCACCCAGGTAGCGGCCGCTGAGCCGCAATTAAGCCATCATGCCCCTTTGGGTTGAGCAGCCCTGACAAAACCCCCGTCAGATTAGGAAGGGATTAAGGAGCAGAGGGACGGGATTAGCAGGGGAGGGGGAGGAGGAGGAGGAGGAGGAGGGCGCAAAAGCTGCGCGGCCAAGTTCGGTTCAGAGGGGCTGAGCAGATGGGCAGACAGGCAGGATCCTAGAGGTGGAAGGGACTCCCAAAGGCCATCCAGACCAACCAACCCCCTTCTGCCATAAGAGAGAAAGAGAGAGAGAGAATCCTAGTTGGAAGCAACCACAAAGAAGGCCATTCAGACCAGTCCCTTCTGCCATAATGGATGGATGGATGGATGGACAGAGAGATAAATAGATGGATGGATTGATCGATGGAGAGATGGATAGAGGGATGAATGGATAGATAGATCAATAGATGGATGGATAGATGATAGATAGATACATACATAGATACATATATAGATCAATAGATGGATGGATGGATGGGTGGATACATACATACATACATACATACATACATACATGGATGGATGGATAGATAGACAGACAGGTGGGTAGGTAGGTAGGTAGATAGATAGATAGATAGATAGATAGATGGATGGATGGATCGATGGAGAGATCGATAGAGGGATGAATGGATGGATGGATGGATGATAGACAGACAGACAGACAGACAGACAGACAGACAGATGGATGGATGGATGGATGGACGGATGGACAGAAAGACGGATGGGTGGGTGGATAGATAGATAGATGATAGATAGATAGATAGATAGATAGATAGATAGATAGATAGATAGATACATGGATGGATGGATGGATGGATGGATGGACGGACGGACAGACTGACGGACGGACAGGTGGATAGATAGATAGATAGATAGATAGATAGATAGATAGATAG